CGCGATTGAGTTATGCAAGTGAATTGTGGCGGTACGTGTGAGGCTGGTCGGCCGCCGTAATTGATGTTATTCGGAAGTATTCTACTGCTATGGCCTGCTATGTGTAGGCAGACTCCGAAAGGGCTGTGGTAGCTTAGACCACTACTCAGAGATTTGCATAATCTACGGTCATGAGAATTCACTTGTGTGTTTCTATGGTTCTCCTGAAGTGAGATAAGTGAAGAGTTTTATATAATGAAGTGTTAATCCATTGTGGTTACGGATCTATGATGAAAAATCGTGTTATATCGTGTGATGGCATGTTGGGTGCAGCGAGTGGTACGGAATTTGAAGAGAGGATCAAGGTTGCAGTTCGGTGTTGACCTAGATGTCACGAGCTCGGATGGGCAGGGAAGTAGTTTCGACGTTTAAAGTAAGCTGGTATTGTCTTCAGCGTCACCTGAGATCGGTGTTTTGTGAAAAAAGGCTTTGCATCCTGGTTAAGGATTCTTGGTCGCTCCTTAGCGTTAGTGCGGTCGGTGGTCTGGATGTACAGATCTGTTGTCAGTCATGGGAAGGTTGTATAAGTGTGGCGTGTAGTCACTTGATTGGTTGAAGAGTTAAACCAAGTAGGAAGGTTATGGTAATATCGCTAATTTGAGAATGGATGCCTGGAGGGCACTCGATTTATTGAGTTGTGGACTGTGGAGGATTACTCCGGTTATGATGGTTGTTCTTGTGTGTTATGAGAAAAACGAGGAGTATTTATGGACCTTTGAAAGGTCATTAGCCTAGTTCAATGCGATTAGAACCAGCTTGAGGTCCGCGGAAGGGTTTAAATGTGAATATGGGCTCTATATCAGGCCAGATGTGTTCATTTCAGTAAGGCGCTCCTTGTGGAAGAGCAGTCAGGGTGTTATTTCGTCATCAGTTATTTCATGTAATGATATATTGCGCCGTGTGAGTTGTGAGACGGCTTGGGAAATTGCTTATGTGTTGAGGTTTCGCGTAGAGATGGTGTTATATGAGCAAAATGGCTCTTGAGATTCAGATCGTATATCGCACCTCGGTTGTGCTTGAGTTTTGTAGCCTATGGCACTATATGTCTCCCCGGGGATAGTATTATGCACTTAGCGTGCTTGTGACCGATATTCGATGTCTTGTTGTAATGAGCAATCTAGCTCGGTGTGTACCTACTTATGTGAATCTTATGTGTGGACCGGGTGGCACGCCGCCATGTGTATGTTGTTTGGATCGGGTCACGCGCCGCAGCAATAAGATGTTGGGTACAGTTCCCCGTGTCTGTTTTATGTGTTTTGTTTCCTCCTTTCCCGGGAGGAACTTATATTAGCTGTGTGCCCGTGTCGCATGCATGATTCGCGAGCGGGGTGTCTGTTTAATTATGTTGACCGCGTCGCATGTATGATTCGTGAGCGGGTAATTGGATTTCCTTTTTAGAGTTCGTTTTCCTTTTGTCACATTCGAGTTCATGGCCTATCGGCACATTGTGGCATCATGTGAGACTTTTGACCATGTCCGGGGTGGCTTATTGCCTGAGCAGTTTGTACTAGGTGAGATGAGATCATTGGACTTAGGATCAGTGCAATCTGAATGTATGAAGTATATTAAGGAGCAAAGACCATTATTTGGTTCAGAAAGAGGTGATGGTTCTTGACAGGAGTATAGACCCTATGAATCATTGATTCAGTAGTTGGTTATGAATTTCTACACATCCCTTCCGTCGTGGTAGCATTGCGAGAGTTGGAACAGGACTTATATATGCCATGGGGTACATTGTGAGTATCATATTCGGGAAATGTCGATTATTATGATCAGAGAGTGTTATTATGGTCTTGTGAATGATAGGGTGCATGGTGAGAATTCAGCAAGGGTGTGCAGTCATGTTCTGGTACAGCGTGTGGTGATTGATACGGTGTTCATATGTCGAAAGCAGGCCTGGCAGAGAATTTCGGATGTTGAAACTAGGCTCCAAGGCTTATTTGCCTAAATGAAAGAGGTTATCTTTAGATTTGACCAAGCTGATGTGCCCAACTGAGTCGTGGTAGCACGGGTAGGTGCACGAGGTATTAAGCAGTGATTCCAGACAACCCCAGCACAGTTCCTAGAACGTTCGAGGACGAACGTATGTTTAAGAGGGAGAGGATGTAACGACCCGACCGGTCGTTGAGCCCTAGCGCGCCGTTCAGCAGTTCGAGGCAATGAGCAGCTCCAATTCAGGCATTATGACTTGTACGCGTGGTCGGAATTAAATTTCGGGAAGTTCGGAGTTGACTTGGAAAGGAAATTCTCATTTTGGAAGCTTTAAGTTGAGAGAATTGACTAGGATTGGATTTCAGAGTAAAAGACCTCGAAATCGGGATCTGAAGATTCCAGCAGGTTCGTATGATGATTTCGGACTTGGGCGTATGCCCGGATCAGGTTTTGGGTGACCTAGGAGCATTTTGGCGCCTATTGTGGAAGTTAGCATTTTGGAAGAAATTTCATAAGTTTGGGTTGAAGTGCATTTTAGTGTTATCGATATCCGTTTGGGATTCCGAGTCTGGGAGCAGCTCCGTATGGTGATTCTGGAGTTGGGAGCGCGATCGGAAGTGAATTCGGATGTCCGTGGAGCATTTTGGAGCCATTTGGCTAAGGATAGAAATTTGAAGGTTATTGAGAGGTTTGACCGGAGGTGGACTTTTTGATATCGGGGTCGGAATCCGATTCCGAAAGTTGGAGTAGGTTCGTAATGTCGAATATGACTTATGTCCAAAATTTGAAGTCAATCGGACGTGATTTGATAGGTTTAAACATCGAAAGTAGAAGTTTGAAATTCTAAAGTTCATAAAGCTTGGATTGGAGGTCGATTCGTGGTTTTAGCGTTGTTTGTTATGATTTGAGGCCTCGAGCAAGTCCGTAATGTGTTTTGGGACTGGTTGGTATGATTGGTTGGGGTCCCGGGGGCCTCGGGTGGATTCCGGGTGGTTAACGGATCGAATTGGATTTTTTTAAAAGGGCTGAAGTTGCTGGTTGCTGGTATAACCGCACCTGCGAGACTAGGGCCGCAGGTGCGGCGCCGCAGAAGCGGCCAGAAGAGCCGCAGATGCGGTTTGGGACTGGAAGTGAAGGGACCGCAGATGTGGTCATATAGCTGTAGAAGCGGGACCGCACCTGCGAAAGAAGAAGCGTAGATGCGGAAATGGGCGGCTAGGAAGGACCGCAGATGCGGTCATTTTGCCGCAGATGCGGGACCGCACCTGCGGAAGGAGAAACGCAGATGCGGAAGTAGGAGGCTTGGGGAAGGACCGCAGATGTGGCCATTGGTCCGCACCTGCGGGACCGCAGAAGCGGTCAATAGACCGCAGGTGCGAAAGGACTAGAGGCAGTGAGCTATCTTTAAAAATCGAGTTTAGGCTCATTTCCTCCCATTTTCACTTCGGGCTGGGCGTTTTTGGAGTTTTTGGAAGAGAGATTTTTTCCATTTATGTCGAGGTAAGTTGTTCCCACTCATTAGACGCTAAATACATGATTTTACTTCGGATTTGAGCATGAAAATTGGTAGAAACTTGGGGTTTGAGGGGAAAACCTAGAAAATTGATATTCTTGGATTTTGACCACGATTTTGGATATGAAATTGAGAGTAAATTATATATTTGAGTTCTTGAGGTTATGGGTAAACTTGTTCTTCGAAAAATTTCGGAATCCGAGCACGTGGGCCCGAGGGTGTTTTTGCCAACTTTTCGATCGGGGTTAGGAATTATTATAAATTGGATTGTGATGAGTAATTGAGCATATATTAATGGGTTTGCATAATTATTGGCTAGCTTTGGAGCATTTAGCATCGATTCGAGTCTTCGGAAGGGCGGGGAATGCCGGTTATGGATCTTCGGAGCAAGGTGAGTCTCCTTTCTAACCTTGTAAGAGGGAATTGTCCCCATAGGTGAATTAATTGGTTATGTGTTCCTATTTGTGGGGGCTACGTACGCACGAGGTGACGAGAGTCCGTGCGTAGCTACTAATATGTGTAAGTCCGGGTAGTCTAGGACCCAAAAGCATGCTATACTTGGAATATCTGTGATCTTATTGAGAATTGAATTTCTTAAATCCTATCGAATTGGTAAACGAATTTCTAAGAGGATTAAACTTCATTTTCTTAAATCATTAAAAGAGGATTGGCTTTTATTTGGATAAATGTTCCCCAATAAACTCTTAATTTGCTGTTTGAGCATGTATTTTTATGTGTACCTGCGTCGCATGTATGATTCGCGAGCAGGGTGATTTTTTAGTTGAATTTGACCGCGTCGCATGTGTGATTCGCGAGCGGGGTAATAGATGCATCTATGGTGTTGATATCCAATTTTGTCCCTTCTTTCTTCCAATTAATTTCTTTGAGCTTCTAAGTTATTAATACATCAAATACCTTATTTCTCAATACTATTTTTCATTTACTATTATTATTATTATTATTATTATTATTATTATTATTACTATTTATTACTACTATTAGTACTATTATCATTATTATAATTACTATTTTATTATTACTACAACTAGTACTATTATTATTATTATTATTATCATTATTGTTGTGTTGTTATTATTATTACTAATATTGTCACCACCACCACTACTATCGCCATAACTTTTTATTGTATTATCCTTAATATTGTACTACTATTGTATTTTTTTATAATTATATAATTATTAATATCTACTTAATATATTAAAATATGACTAAAAGAATTTAGTTAGAAGCTCAAAGGAATTAATTATAGGAAGGAAAGATCCAATGGCCTTAGGCCTTATTATAAGCCCAAAAGTTTCTTTTTCCATGAGACATTTTGAAGGCCATCTTGTTCAGGTCATTCAAGCCTAGTTTGTCAAGAACAAAATCGGCCCAAACAACTTTTCAAGACCAAGTCCATATCAATTAATATTAGCCTTCTAGCCCAAATCATGAACCAAAAGAAATTAGTATTAGGTTTATCTTTTCACTCTCACACGTGCCCCTTTTGTCCTCTTCTTCTTCCTTCCCATTTTAATGAAACTTTTCCCTTTTCATCAATACCTAACGGAACTTGTCCCACCAATTTTGGGTTAAATATTTTACCTCTCTCATAATCCAATATCTCAGCATTATCTCTCTCATGTGCAACTGGATTTGGTCAATAGAAGAGTCCAAAAAAATTTTGGATTTTTGATTCTCTATGACAGAGATTTTCAGTGTTCAAACGGATCCTTTTGTGTCAAGACACCAGCTCCTGAAGTCCTCCTAACGTTCAAATTTCAAATGGTTGACTCGATTTTGAAATCCCGCTCAAACTTTCATCCAAAAATTCTAGACTTTTCCCCTATAAATACTACTGTTTTCTACAAGTAAAGGGGATTCTTCAGCTGCCTCATATCCATTTTTCTACTTTAGCCGCCTCTACTTCCACCTAAAACATATAACTCTTAGTCGTTCTTTCACTCTAAAGGGACGACTTTCGCATCTGAGTTGTTCAAGTCCAAATCTCATTCGTGAAGAAGAGATAGATCCGAGGTCGAAGCTCCAGATTCACTGCCCCACAAACGGTCAGTTACTCCCAAACTCAAGCCCTTTCTTTCTTTACTAATAGTATGTGACGTGCAATGGTGAACTCTGTTAAAATTTTCCTGTGTAGAAATTATGCCATTAGGATTTAATTTTCTAGCCGTATGTTAGAAGTCTTGATTGATGAAGAACACATAAGGTTTCATTTTTTGGTGATGTCTATTCGTGAATCTAGATATCATGTTTAGGTTCCTTATGATTTGTGCACTGTTTGATCAAGGACATGTATGAAGATGTCCTGATTCTCGACTGTCAACTTGGAGTTTGGTTTAGAATTCTCTTTAAGTTCGCATTCCTTGAAACTATATTACATATTCTCTTTCTGTGGTGGCAGCATATGAATATTACATATTCTCTACTTGAAACTATATTCTGAGATAATAATACTAATCTTTGAGGAGTTAACTGTAGAAAAGACTATTTTTAGAAATGGCTAGATACCATGTTATATTAGGATTCAATAATTAGAAGAGGTAAATAAATCCTCTTTGTTTCCTGTTACTTTTAAAAGATCTTCCATAGCATGATTGATAGTCAGTTAAGTTATACTATATGGAACTTCACCTACTTAGATAACAATTTTAAAAGAAAGGACTTTGAAAAAGTAATATGTTCTGTTACGATTGTAGTGTGTTGCAATAATGGTGTAGTGAAGTTGTATACTTCAATTTCAGAATTGTTTCCTTGCAAGTATAAAAATGGATACATGCTTAAGTCATTTCAATTATGGATGGTGCATTGTAGGGAAGGTTCTTTTGTTTATAAATGGTTCAAAATTGAATGTTACATTGCTTTCTTTATTCTACTTACTTACTGTCTATATGTGCAATGTCATGAATGGACTTCTCCTTGCTGCTAATTTCCTTTATTTCTTTTCTGTTTTGCATGACACACCGCAGCCGAAGAGTCCTACTTTAAGACTCAACGACGCTGTAGCACCACATGGAGTCATCGTTATTTGTGCTGGCCTAATGTCGAATCTCATGGCGAAAACCATAAAATTCATCCTTATGGGATGTCGGCGGGGACTACCCGTTATGCTTCTTCAATCTTTACTTTGCTAGTTTCTCCCTTGATCTCTATATTGCCAATCCATTCTATTTGTCTTTTTTTAAACTTGTGATTAGTCTCACTTAGGACTTATATTCAAGCTAATAATGGATTACTTGTTACGTGGAGATATGGAAACTGGGGTTGAGGACTTTAAAATCATTTGTCTGACCAACTCTTTTACCTATTTTCTCTTTTAGTTTATCTCAACATCATCTTACAATGTGAGGATAATGGACAAGCACGTAATTTTGGGATATTATTTGACGAAAGATAAGTTCACTATTTTATAAAATCTAAACTTTTTTTTCTTGAGCTCTAGATACGTTAGAAGATAGCGTGACTTTAAATAATAATGTTCTAATAAAAAATTGACATTTTGAGCCTTACCCAAATCACGTTTGGTTTAAACTTGGATCCTTAATCTGTTTGTGTGGCATAGATGAAAGCATTTTGGCCTTAACTCATTTTTGTGGTAAGATAACTTTCTTTTGAACAAAAAACCAATTTTGCACCTCTGTCATTTGAAACCCTTCAAATCGTCCTTTTTCAAGACTTCTACCATTTGATTTCGCAAATGAAAGTTACTATTTTAATTAATTTAATCAATCACATTACTTATCTAGAATCTTTAGGTTAATTAAACTATTAACAGAGTTATACTTTTTTATTAATTTACTTTAATGTTAGCTGCCCTAATTCACCTTATAAATAATTAGGTGGCGACTCTTTAACTTTAATCAAACTCAGAATTGCCTATATGTTGTACCTTAATTTAACCAGTTTAAAATGGGGTATAACATATGGTTCGTGCCGCTCGATCCTCGGCAGTGCACAATTTACATTTCTGTTGGATCGGGCCGTACGACCTCGGTATGAATTGCGCATGCTTGTATTGCTTGCCTTGAGATTTATTGGTATTGCTGTCTGCTCTCCCGACTTGATATAATTCATAATTAATGGATTATGAATCCGGGGACTTTAAATAAAAAGGGACTTTCACCTGTTTAGTGACTCATTTGAATTTTACTGTTGTTTTTAATAAATCAGTGAGTCATCGTATTAATAATATTATTACTGGACCTTTAGTAAGTGTCGAAGTTGCCATCTCATCTCTACTTCTTCGAGATTAGGCGGGATACTTGTTGAGTACACGTTGTTTTCGTACTCATACTACACTTGCTGCGCATTTTGTTGCACAGGTACAAGTACTTCTACTAGCCTATTGGGCGTAGCAGCACGGGCGACCCGGAGACTAAGCGAGCTGTATTTCCTCGAGGCGACCCACAGCTAGTGTAGTCTCTCTCAGAGTTTTATTTACTTTCTGTCCAATTTGTGTTCCAGACAGCTGTTGTACTTTATTTAATTTCTTAGAAATTGCTCATGCACTTGTGACACCGGGTTCTGGGATGGTTATAAAGTATTTTGTATCAACCACTTATCATTTAATTTGATTTGAGACGATTATCTTTTTAAATTGATAAATTTGAAGGAAAATCATAGATTTCAAGAGTATTAAAATGAGGATTTAATTAAGTATTTGGTTGGCTTGCCTGACAGTGGTGTACGGCGCCATCACGACCCTTAGTGGATTTTGGGTCGTGACACCAAAGATTATCCGGGGCACCAGAACTAACAAGCATCATCATTTCCTTTAAGGTCCTATTTTTTCTTTCCGCTAAACCATTTGATTGTGGAGAATATGCGGAGTTATATCGTGAATTATGCCTTCTTTCTCGCAATAGTCATTCAACAAAATAAATTCACCACCTCTATCGGATCTAACTCTTTTGATTTTCTTATCCAATTGATTTTCTACTTCAGATTTATAAATTAAAAACTTATCAAAAGCTTCATCTTTATTTCTCAACAAATAAACTTTTGTATATCTAGAAAAATCGTCTATAAAAGTCACATAATATTTTTTTCCTCCTCTAGTCATAGTTTGTTTCAAATCTCCTAAATCAGTATGGATTAAACTTAATAATTCAGATTCTCTAAACACAGAAGCACAATTTCTTAGTTTGTTTAGCTTCGGCGCAAACTTCACACTTATCAATATTTGAATAATTAATATTTGAAATGAGACCTTCAAAATCCATTTTTTTATATTTGATAAACTAACATGTCCTAATCTAGCATGCCATAAATTGAAACAGTCAATCAAGAATTGGAGTAGTCCTTGGGTCACCAAGATATACAACCTCTTCTCCTTCCTCAACTTGGGTGTAAGACACAAAGTCTTTTTTGTCAGCACATATATGCCTAGTGGCACTCGAATCTAACACCCTATCTTTCACATTGGCCACAAAGTTTACTTGGGAAACAACTGCAGCAATTATGTCATCCGCTATGGCTTCAGTTAAATTTACTTTAGCCTTAGCGGGATTGTCATTCCCAACCCTCTTCCGGCATTGAGCAGCATGATGGCCAGGTTGCCTTTTTTCTTGAAGGTTTGATTGTTGGTTTTGGGCTTATAACCATTTATTTTATCATACCTGTTATTTGATTTGTTCTGCCGCTTATTGTCCTCCACAAGGTTGGCTCTTGTAGCAATCTCCTTTCCTTTGTCAGCAACAACTTGCTTGCGATTGGTATTTTCAATTATAATGTGCTTGACCAAGTCCTTCATCGACAATTGCTTGTGCTTATGTTTCAATTGTTGTTTGTAGTCACTCCAAGATTTGGGAAGTTTTTCTATAAGCATACCAGCAACAAACTGTTCGGGCAGAGAAATATCTTCAGATTTGAGATCTTCAATCAACTTGTGATATTCGTTGATTTGTGCAATTATGTCCTTGTCCTCCGTCATCTCCCACTTGTAGTAATTTCCAATTACAAACTTTTGTTTAGTAGCGTCTTCAGCAGTATACTTTCTTATCATTGACTCCCAGATTTCTTTTTCCTCCTTGTAAGAAACGTAGACATCGAACAATTCGTTAGAAATAGTAGAAATTATAGTATGTCTACATACCTTATTAGCATGAACCCATTGATCCATCTGAATGGAATTTGCTTCAATTGGCTTAGGATCAGTAAGTGCAAAAGCAACTCCATGCATATCCAAAATAGAATGCACGCGTTCCTGCTAGCGCTTAAAATTATCTCCACCAAAAACCTCAATTTTCGAAACAACAGGAAAAGGTTTGGCATAGGTAATTGGTGATGGAACAGCAATAGAAACAGTTAGTGTAGCAGGTGTAGTAGCATTAACAGCAACATTAGCAGCGTTATTCTCCATAATAACAACATGAAAATATCCTTAAGATTGTTGGAAAAAAAATTTGGATGATTATGGAGAATAAAAGGTTTAGCTTGAGGCGTGTCAAGGACACTGTCCTTAAGGATATTCCGCCCACACCGAGATAAATATTTTTAGGTGTATCCCCCAGGATTTAATAAGCTCTTCTAGTATAACTAGGAGCAGAAACAATAAAGATTGTATAAAAAAAACCCATCACAAAAGAAAAGGGAAGAAAACTTTACCTTTTTTCCACTCTACACCTGTGAACATAAACAGATAGCATTTTATATATAGTCCAAATAGGATTGACATCTGGAATAGAAAACGGTAAAATCCATTAAGGATTCAATGCCAAAATGAATCATTAAGAAATCAATACCAAGAGTTCAATTCCAAAAAGAAACCGTTATAATCATTTAAGTCCATAACGTTGATTCTTTGAAAGCTATCAAATACCAAACATTAAAAACATAGTTATTGCCTTCAATCCTTAGTTTTAAAATTTTCAAATTTGTAATTGATAATTATGCCATTAGTTTTTCCATGCATCATCTGCACCATATTTCTTCTCCAAACTGTCCTATGTGACTTTGGAAGATTTATAATTTATAAATAATGCAAACACAGGGTTAGTCATATGGCTAAGCAGATACATGCGAACAATTTTATTATCTTTTTCGAATTTCTTTTTAGCATCATCATCAACAACAATAGCACTAGTAGTATTAGATCCATCAACAACAACAGTAGTATTAGAAACAACATTAGTAGAAGGTTCCTTGATAAAAAAATAATCAACTTCTAATGTTTGAAGAAAATCAAAAGTTTCTGGGACCATACTTATAATTGTTTCCATCCAAAGTCTCAAGCTTTGACAAATTAGGAAGAGTTTTAGTCAAAGTGGTAGCCATTGATCAATATTATACGTGAAATCATTTTTAAATTGTTAGAAAAATAGTTGATAATTTTAACCAGTAAAATAAAATAATAGAAATAACTTATCCAATAAATACTGTGTCAAAGCCACTCCCTTAAGCGATTTCGATCCAACTGGATGCAAATTGTTAAGACCGGTCGCTCCCCAAGGTTCCAAAGTGTTCCCAACGCGTGCACTCGTGGCTGGAAGTTTGGAGTTTGCAAAGAAAAGAATTGCCTAGGAAAAATAGAAAGAAGAATAATCTTTAGAGAGGATGAGAGAATAAATATTTTTTGGTGGTTGTTTAACTCACAAATGATGATGCTTGTATAGGCATATCATCTACGTTTTCTTCCATCAGAAAAACGTAAGAAGCCAAATGGGAGTTAATGTTAAGCAAAATTATTTTTGTTTAATGACAAAATTGTCATAATGATAGTAACTTCAAACCTTATGAAAAGTTTGTATCTTTTCACAAATAAAGTCACAAAAGTTAAGAAACCGTCATTGAAAGAAGGTGAACCCTTTGTGAAGTAGTAACTTCATTCTCCTACTCTGCATATACATAAAAATCGAGAAATGTTACAAAAAATTAATGATGGAGAGGTATGAGAATTAACAACAGATTAGTTTTAGATTACAAGTATTCTTTAATCTTTGCATTATCAAATTAATTATAGTATAACGCCTAAAGAGGAATAGTACCAACAACATGTAGTATGACAGTGATTTACTTTAATATATTACTAATAATTAAATTGCTCTTCGGTACAAAAAAAAGTCAAATTTTAATAACCGAAGAAAATTGGCAACACTAGCAAATTTCATGAATTTTAAAAATTTTATGGATTATAATGATGCAATCAGCAAATGATGTTAAAACTAAATTAAAAACCTCAACATATAAATGTACTGAAGGAATCCCTGAACCTGAGGAAAGTAAAAAAATAGTAATAAAAAAATATTCATGTAATGTTAAAAAAAAAGAGCTAGAGATATAGAGAATTTACATTTCAATTACGAGATTCCTAATCAAATATCAAGATTATTGTACGCTCTAAACAAACAAAAATTGTTCATATGATTAAGAGACCACTAATATAAAATTAGTGAAGAATATTTTCCAAATTTATATACTCATTATTATTCCTAAGCATTATTATAAGCACTAACGCACATTATAGTATAGAGAGCTACCCACAAACAGTTTATTATGCAAAATTACTTCAACATACTATCAAGTTTGGTATGATGGATCCTGAGAGAAAAATTTTAGTACGGCTTTATCCCTTGTTTGGTTATTAATACTAGGAATTAGTTATCCCGGGAATAAAAATAGTACCGGAATAACTTATACCTTCCAGTTAGGAGGGGCAAACGGACGGGTCGGGTCGAATATGGTTCGGATCGAACACAGGTAACGAAAAAATGGATAAATTATCCGAACCGACCCATATTTAATACGGATAAAAAACGGGTAAACCGATGGACAATATGGGTAACCGTATTATCCATGACTTCTTGCATGATCACTTTTGGGAGGATTCTTAGTCTCCCTAACTTGAGGAACCCTCAATTTGAGGCTTTACAAATGTAAAAATTAGACCCATTGGCTATCCATTTTCTAAATGGATAATATGATTCTTATTCATATTTGACCCGTTTTTAAAAAGTTCATTATCCAACCCATTTTTTAGTGGATAATATGGGTGGTTAATTGTTTTCTTTTATGCCACCCCTACTGCCAGTAGAGTTGTCAAAACGGGCCAGCCCAACCCATGCCTCGCGAGCTTTTAAATTTGGTGGGCTAGTGCAGGCCGGCCCGCCATCTAAATGGGTCTTATAATGGCCAGTCCAACCTGGCCCTAAGATGGCCCAGGGATAGGGCGGGCCAGCCCTACAACTTTTTTAGAAAAAAAATTCTTTTAATCTTTAAATATTTCTTCTTGACATGGTTTCAAGCCCCTTGCTTTTTCGGGCATAAGTTATTTAAGAATGCAAATGAGTTCCTTTCTGGGAAATAACAAGAGTAATATAGTAAGGTCTGTTGATACCACATCGATAGAACCTGATAAACAAAGACTTGAGACGTAGAATAAAAGAAGAGGCCCATGCACCAAGGAAAGCATACCTTTCTCGGCCTTTTGGCTAAGATCAAGTGTAGTATCTGTTCTTATCAGTTTAATATCTGATATGTGGGCCATTGGCTCACACGATATTAATTTAATTTTTGAAGGGGAAGAGTCCATTAAGGTAGCTTGCTGCCTGGGCTTTTGTGCGTCGCCCATGCGTTGCACTACTGCACGGGCCTGGCGCACCCCACCAAATCAAGTTTAAATGTTTTCTGTTCAAGCTATGTTGTGCTTAACAAGATCAACAAAATTTTACTTTAGAAATCTTTGTCATGTATATAGAAGAGCAGTCCACATCGTCCAACATTTGATGTTCTGTCCTTTGGCTGTACCTAATGTCGTGTTAATCCTTTAGCATCACATAGTATTTTAACCAAACTGATGTTAATTGGTACGTTTCCCGTCTAAGAGAGTTTCTGCATACTAGAGGAACATAGTCGTATGAATAGGAATGGCAGGCGTAGCGGTGCGGGTGCGGGGCTCATACGGAATGAATCAACAAAATGCTTCTAGAGAAACATAGTTGTATGAATAGGAATGGCAGGTGGAGCGGTGCGAGTGCGGGGCGGTTGATTCATGCGGTATGAATCAACAAAATGCTTCTAGAGGAACATAGTCGTATGAATAGTAATGGTAGGCGGACGGTGTGGGTGCCCTTCAACCAGCCATTAAAATTACCCAAAAATCAGCTTCTAAAACCTCATCAAATCCACCACAAAACAGCCCCAAATCTCAATGAAAACTACTCTAATACCAGCTTGAAACACCCACCAAACAGCCTCTCTAAACTCGAGCAAAAATGCTGAAAAACAGTCCCCAAAATACCACCAAAATAACCTCAAATCAACAATAAAAGCACCACTGAAAACCAGTCACCCAAATCAGCCCAAGGAACGCAACAAAATCGAGCCAAATACCCATCACAACAGCTCGTTTTCTCCCAATTTTTCCTTACCGCTGAGGTCGACTTCTTCGGCAAGTTGAGGTCGTCAATCCCACTGCCTGAGGTCGCCGTCGTGGCATCGTTGAGGTTCATCGTGCTTTCTTGTTCGCAGTTTCTTGTTGCATATGCGTTTGTGTTGTCGCAGAGTCGATGTTGGTGGGTCTCTGTTCTAAAGTCCGATAATTCAATATCAAAGAATATGTGTTTAATGAAAGGTTCAGTTTTCTCACCTTTTTCTTATTCAATAATAAATACCATGCTCTATTATTTCTTTACAATGTTTGAATATGCTTGGTAGATTTACTTTGTTTGGAATTTAGTTTGATAGATGTTCGTATATTAAGAATGGATGAATCCATATGAAGTAGGTTAGGTGACCATTTGTTTTCTTTTGTTTTCACGTGATATTGGTTTGATGAAATGCTTAATTACTTATTTTGGTTTTTCTTGTTTTCTTATTTGAATGGAATAAATTTTACTTAGATTAGTTTTTTAAGTTTGATTATATATAGTTGATATGCAAATAGTAAAGTTCAGAAAATATATTCAATATTTCTTAACAAGGATAGGAACATTAGTAAAGACTACGCATACTCTTGAGGCATAACTTTAAATAAGTCAACCTTAAAATCTCAATAACCTTTAAATACTTAGTCTCATAAAAACTAGAGTACATCATACCATTTCTCCCGCAATATTTCCATAATTCGTGGCTTTACAATAATTCAAAACTAGAAAAAAGAAAGAAAGAAAGAATTACCTACAATAGCCTGCTTTAGGCGCACTCTTAATTAATCAATCTATCGCGATAATGTATACGTTCGTG